CACCAGTCCACTTGGAGTAGAGGAGATGCAGTACTGACAAGTGCAGACTTGCATATACTATCAGACACAGTCACTGTATTCGTTTTTGTTTAAGTATTTTTCTTTGTTAGAAACATGTGAATCTACGATATCTGGAAACAGCTGTGATGGAAAAGTAAAATGCAAAAATAAAACTTATTTAGGAAACAAAAGATCATGATACTATAATGCCAACAGAATTATATGAAGGTCTCTGAAGAAGCAAAATATTGAAAATTCTATTAAGTAGAGATGTCATAACCAAATAAAACAAGCATTTTTAACCTAGAGTCCATGAATCTTTTTAAATATTTTGATAACTATTTCAATATAATTGGTTTTCTTTGTAATCACATACACACACTTATAAAACTTTATGCATTAAAAACATTATTCCGAGAAAGGGTTCATAGGCTTCAGAGTGCCAAAAGGTGACATAAAAAAAAGGTTAAGAATCCCTGAAATATGGGATCATTTTAATTACATGAAATTGAAAAGCTTTTGCACTCACACAGACACAATCAGAAGGGAAGCAGTCAATTAGGGGAAAAAAATTTCACACCAAATATTTTCAGGTAAGGGTCTGATATAAAAGATACATAAGAAACAAATATTTATATAGTCAAAAAACTTTTTCTATTGGATAAAAGATCAAAGATATACACAAATAGTTCTCCAAAGAAGAACTGCATAGCTTTAAGAAATAAAAAAGTCAGGCAAAAATGTACAGACAACGAGATAATGCTATAGTTTCTATCGCTAAGTAAACTGCAAGCCCCAAAGGGTTCAGCTGATGAGTCAATGTCACTAGATGGCTATCAGAGGACAGTTGGTGAAGGCCAGCTCTACCACATTGCATTTTATTTCCTATAAGGGGCTCTATGTACATAGCAAGTCTGCAATAAATGTTTTCTGTATGGATTATTCAAAAGCTGTAATCTACAGATTTCATTAAATGAATTATTGAAGAAAAAAACAGAACTGCAAACTATTAACAACCATATGGAAGAAAGTTCTAAATCACTAATAAGAGATAAGAAAACTCCAAATCTAAACAACACTAAGCGGTTTCACCTCAATCGGACAAATTAGCAAAGATGACAAAAAATGGGAAGAGTCGAGGAGTTGTGCAAAGAAAAGCACACAAACGTATAATTGGTGGAGCTGTGAATTATTGGTCAAACCACTGTGAAAAACAACTTGGAATTCTGCCAGAGATTGCCATGGCTTAGTATATACCCCAAGTAGCTCAATGATAAAAAGAAAGGTTCAACATACATCAACACATTTGGCAACACTGTGCAGTAGCAAAGAGTGGAAACAAATTAATGCCTATTGACTGGGGAAATGGAGCTAGGTGGCTCAGTGGGTAGAGCACTGGGCTTGGAATCAGGAAGACTCATCTTCATGAGTTCGAATGTGGCTTCAGACACTTACTAGTTGGGTAACCTTGGGGAAGTCACTTCACCCTGTGAGCCTGAGTTTCCTCATCTGTAAAATGAGCTGGAGAAGGAAATGGCAAACCACGTCAGTATCTTTGCCAAGAAAACCTAAATGGAGTCACAAAGAGTCAGATATGACTGAAACAACTGAATAACAAAGACTGGTGAATGGTTAAACAGATTGTAGTACAATAAACTATTCCTGTAATGTGAAAAATAAACATGAATACAGGGAGGCATGGGAAGACATATGAACTGTTGCAAAGAACCAGGAAAACAATACATACAGTGACTATAATGATGCAAACAGAAAAAAAACCCAAAAATAAAACAACTAAAACTGTTGCAAAATTATAATGACCAAGCTTGGCCCTAAAGAAGAGAGGTAATCTCTCTCTGCATCTTGGAGGGAACTACAGATGTGGAAGATTACATATAATGACGATCTTGGTCAATGTATTTAGCTTTGCTAATCAGGTGGTTTTTTTCCTTTCTTTATTCTTTGCTATAAATAACAGTTCTCAGAGAAGATGAGGAAGAAGTAATAAAATGAAAAAGATAGGTGATGTAAAAACAAAAGATAATAAAAATTTATTTTTTTTAAAAATCTCTAGTAGCTCTGGGAAGGTAAAGGGGCTGTCATTCAAAATAACCATGAATTAGTCCACTTATATTCCTTTGAACATTCACTGTACCGAAATCTACTCTCACTGAGATAAAGTTTTAATGGGGAAGTAGATTGTATTGTAGCAGGAGACACTTTAGGAGACATTGAAGACTTTAGCAGAGTACCACAGTACACTGAAGATTACAGGTATACTGAAGACATGGAAAGAAGGATAAGGATAAAACTGTGATTTCATTCATAAAGGCAACTCCAGGATGATGCAAGCTGTCACCTTAGCTGCAATTTATAGACTCAGAGCAGCCCAGAGCATTTGTCCAGGGTCACACAGCCTGTGGCAGTATAAGAACCCAGGTCTTCTTAACTCTGAGTCTAGTTCTCTATCCATTGAGCAACACTGACTCATGTTTTAAAAAAAAATAAATTTCACTTACATTAAAATATTACCTGGCAACATCATACATTATCTTCCTCCCTATGAGCTAAGCTCCTCTCCCTAACTGCTCCTAGGACTCAGAGCTCAAACTAAATAGGTTTTTGTGGCCTACGTTGGAAAGCTGAATATAATTATAATATTGTTTCTCTGTGAAAGCTGCAAACAAATCTTACAAACTAGATTTTGGAATACAACCCTTTCAAGCTTACTATGTGCAGAAAAAGCAAGAGGTATCATATCAGATTCAATATCAGAAATGCGCTAATGATGAAATTGGTTTCATTACTACACAGTTTTCAGGCAAATAACTGATCAAAACCTGAGTCATTTAAATCAGCATTCTGACAATGATGTGCAAAAGATGAAATATATGATCTCACCGATTTTCACTCCACAGTCTCTATTTCTGAAATACTAGGTAGAAGTGTTAATGAAAACATTCTACAAATGCACAAAATTTTCTACGCTAAAATTGTTTTTTTTACTTGAAACTCTGATGTATATTGTCCAGCAAGTCAAAAAGCTATGTTAAAGAATTTTATTTCATATTTATGTACTATTAGAACTGAAGAATACCTGAGGGATCATTTTTTTTTTTTAGGTAATTGGGGTTAAACGACTTGCCCAGGGTCACACAGCTAGCAAGTGTCACGCATCTGGTCTGAGGCCAAATTTGAACTCAGGTCCTCCTGACTTCAGGGCCATTCTCTATCCACCTCCACACCTAGCTACTCCATAAGGGATCATTTTGTGCAATCCTTCCATTTTACAGATAAGGAAACTGGGGCTTCAGAAGAGGTCAAGCGAAATGCCCTAGGTCTCTCAGCACGCATTCAACATACCAACTTTCTTCTGAAACACAGGATTATTTGTAAATTGTGTAGGCACTCTTCACAACACCTGGTGAAAATGAACTATATATAATATTAACACTACTACCTTGAATGTATTTGCAAACTTCCACCAGTAAACAAAACATTTCTCATTTATTCTTATGGCAGCTTTTCAAAGTAGGAAAGGACTGGTTTATTATGTCCTTTTTGTCTCCATTTGTAAAATGGAGATACTGGAATGACAAAGAAATTAAACAATTTATCAAATATCACCATTATTAGTTAGAAGTTGGCTGAGTTAAAACTTACTTAAAGCTCCTGGGCAACCAATCACAGTGTTAATACTACTGTAAAGTGAAAAATAAATAAAAATAATTGAGACTACACCTCAAGCTATATCACTCCAAAAACCTTAAGCTTATCAGGGAAAAAAACCTCACACAGTAAAAGCTAGTCCTGGTAGGAAGTCTCAAAAACAAAAAAGGTAAATCACCTTTAGAAAAAGGTAAAGTCACCTTTAAAAAGTGACTAGCTTTGACATATTTATTTGAAAAACTAATCTTAATTTCAAATGTCACCATTAACCAGTTGAAGTCAGTAAAATGACTTATACACTTGTCTGCCTAACTTAATGTGCACAAAACTAGTGACAAGTTGAGGTGCACAAAGCACTAAAAATAAGTCTCTAAAACAAACTAAAAGCATTAGCGTAAACTGGCATAAAACAAGATTCCGTTATTTCACTATATAATCAGCTAAACTTATTTTCCCGTGAATTTTGTCTGCTCTTAACATGCTAAACCAATCTGTAAAAGTTGTGTAATTCGTAAACACAAAACCCCAAAGCAATGAAGAATAGACGCCAGTGGCAGAATAACTGTTATCAGCAACGCACAGGCTAAAATTTGTGGAGTAGCAAGTAACGCAAATAAAGGTGAATGCTGTTCTTCCCACTAAGTGAAACTAGGTTAAGGCGAAAGAAATTTTATGTCTGTAGTCTCAGATTCACGTGTCAAGCAACGTGAGGCACTAACTTGTCTCTCGTAGCCTCCATTATAACAGATGGGGGAAAATAACCAAGAAAACAAACACAGAGCCCTTTTTCTGGCTTCACAATCATCCCCTTCCCAAAAAAAGAAAACTAAAGCGGCTGGGATAAAAGGAAAAGGGGCATTTATTTCAAGTCACCCCATTTCCTTAGGTCTTGTTAAAGTCCAGAGAGGTGAAGTTTTCTATACCTTCCCCCCCTTAAAAAATTAAAATAAAAATTCACAGGCAAGATGGAACTGTCACCTACACCCCCAACTTTATGTAACCTGATCATCTAGGGGACAGCGGAGGTGTCACCAGGACTGGGGACAGCGCGCTGCAATCCAGACCCCTGAAGAAGTGGAGAGGACCCCAGCAAAGGATGGGGGTTGCAGGGCGTAGCAAAGCAGGCCAAAAAGAAAAGGGCAGGGACGGAAGGCGTGTCCACGTGTGCGTGGGTGTGCCCGTGTGAGCGTGAGCCGGGAGATACACTGGGGAGCCGGCGTGCTCCGGCGGGCAGCCCCGCCCGGCCCGGGGCCCACGGGCGGGGGAGGCCGGTGCACGCCGCGGCGTCTGCAGGGAGTGAGCAGTGGGCGGCGGGCAGGAGGTCTCGTTACCTCCCCAGATGCCCAGCGTTAGCTGGGAAGTGTCCAGGTTCACCACATAATCCCCCAAAAACCGATTCAACACGTCCACGACCACCGACTCGAACACCATCTTCCACAGCCGGGGGAGAAGTAGCCCCCGCTGCCAGGTCTTCTCTCCCTCCCCTCCCCGGCGCCGGTCCACCTGTCAGCCCCGAAAGGAACCTCTCGCGGCTTCGGCTCCAACTCGGGCAGTGGCGCCACCGCCCGCAGGACACAACGTCCCGGCCGGACCATGGGAGGGGCCGCGAAAGGGGCTGGCTGACAGCGGCCGCAGCTGACTCAGAGGGGAAAGACCGAAAGCGGCAGCTAGAATACGCGTGCGCGGGCGCACGGGAGGGAGGGAGGGAGGTGCTGAGAGAGGAGAGGGTCCAAGTAAACCTGGTGCATGCGCGTGCGCTAAAGGGCCAGGGAAGCTTCGGGAACTCTACTAGACCTCGAGCTGGGCGGTGCCACCCCCAGCGAAGTCTTCCATTCCTCCCCGCCTCCTGGTTGTCTGGGCAACGGAGCACGTGCTCAGAAGCCAGTTCTTGGCGGGGTGGGGGTGGCGCGGTGCGTAGTCTTGTAAAGTTTCGACTCCTCTTTTCACTCCCTCCTATCCTCCTCCAGGGCCGGTCCTTCAGGCTTGGATTGACGGGTAAAGGGTGACCCCGGTGCAGGCGCTTGGGCGATCGCAGGAGGCGACGGTTACATCCCAGCGGGGCGCCCCTCCCCCTCCCGGAAGCCGCAACGGCCGGGAGAGAAGCGCGTTGTTCCCCCGGGCCCCCCAGTGTTATCAACAGGCTGACCTCGGGGAAGAAGCTGTGGGGGCTGGGGCGGTCAATGGCTGCCTGGGAGCTCCTCGAGAACTCGTACTTTATTTAACATTATTATTTTCTTTTATTTATTTATCAATCATTATTATTTTTTCCATTTTTTTGTATCCTGTGCCTGGAACATAATGGGCGCTTAATAAATGTTTGCCAATAAATGACTGACATAACCTGTAATCCTATTTAGAAGTGGATGTGGAGTTAGGAGCACCAGCTAACCAGAATTTTATCATAAACAGGGCAGCTAGGTGGCATAGTGGAAGTCTCAAGGACCTGACTTCAAATCCGCCCTCAGACCAAACACTTGACACTTACTAGCTGTGTGACCCTGGGCAAGTCACTTAACCCCAATTGCCTAAAGGGGAAAAAAAAGATAAAAATTTTTTATCATAAACAGGTTATTTTTTAATATGCTAGGATCACGGACCTAGAAATAAGTGACCTTAGAAGTCATCTGACCTTTTTTTCTTTTTTTTTTCTTGGCAACTCGGAGTTAGAGGTTGGAGATTTCCAAATCCAGCTCTCTATTCAACTATCTATGTGACCTTGGGCAAGTCAGTTTCTTCATCTGTAAACTTCGAGAGTTGAACTAAAGGAGTTCTGAGGTCCCTTCCAGCTCTCTCCTATGAGCCTTCATAAATTAATTAAACTCAGATTCCAACAGGCTAATCACTAAACATTTTTAAAGTACCTACTGTCTACTGATAGGGTACAGGCCCAGGCTGAGACCCTTGCCCTTTATCCCAAAAAGAGTTTGGGTCCCATTTATCTACACGCCCATGAAAACTCCACCTTGGACTCTCCTTGAACTCCCACCAGACCAAGGAAGTCTCTAGTGTTTGCCTGAGGCATCCTCCCAGTAATCATTTCAACTGGCCTTTCATTGTGGCTACACCCAATCTCCCAATTTTCTGTTACCCTTAGTCTACCCCAGCCCTCCACTGTCTGTTAACTCCTGATGGCCACTGGCTACTTCCCACCCTAGATGGTATCTAGACCCCATCCTCCAACTCCCAGTCACTCCCATCCAGCAGTTACCCCAGCCAACTGGCCGCTCTCATCAAGCTACCCCTTCTCCCATACCCCTCCTCTAGTCACCCAAAACTACTTGGCCACTCCTAGATCCCTCTCACAGTCTTTCAGTATATAAGGTCCATCTGACCTCCATTAAGGTGCTCAGATTCTTTAAGAGTCTAGCCAGTTCCTCAGATTCTTTTTTTTTTGGTGAGGCAATCTGGTTTAAGTGACTTGCCCAGGGTCACACAGCTAGTAAGTGTCATGTGTCTGAGACTGGATTTGAACTCACATATCCTCCTGACTCCAGGGCCAGAGCTCTTATCCACTGCACCACCTAGCTGCCCCTTTTTTTAATTTTTATTTTCTAATTTTTTGTTTTTTAAGCAATTGGGGTTGAGTGACTTGCCCAGGGTCACACAGCTAGTAAGTGTCAAGTGTTTGGTCTGATGTCGAATTTGAACTCAGGTCCTCCTGACTTCAGGGTCCGTGCTCTAGACACCTAGCTGCCCCTCCTCAGATTCTTAAAATCTAGCCAATGGCCAAGATTTACTCTAGTTCAATTAAGCATCACAAATGTTCAGATTCCTTAAGAGTATGGGCAATACAGCAGATCTTTAATATACCTTGTCTTTGGCTGAAAGACAACTTGAGTTGAATTCATTCCAGCAGGACCAGAACTCTCCTATTTTGGGGCAATACAATTAATCACTCCTAAACCTCTAAACCTCAATATATGGTTCCCTAAACCTCAACATGTACCAGGCATTGTGCTAAGCACTAAAAATTTTAAAAGAGGCAAGGACCTTACAATCTAATAGGGAAGACAACATACAAGCAAATGTATACAAAGCAAGCTACATAAAAGATAAATTGGAGGTTTTCAATAAGGGGCAAAAATATCTCTGGTCCTTTTAACTCCCAGACAAACTTAGGGACTTAAGGCTCTAGGTTTAGCATTTTTTCTTAGATAGTACTTAGAAGTTGTACTTCTTAGACAGTACTGTAAACTCTGTGAGGAAACTGTCTTCCTAACCTGAAAAACCTATAGGGAAATGTATTCTCATTAGGGAAAAAAAATGCCATATCTAAGCAGGACAATGAAAATTAACTTGCTCAGCTTGAAATACTTGTTACTAACATATTCCATTAGAACTATTCCTTGTGCCAGAATAATGATTTCTTCATCCATCTATTTCCCTCTCCCAACTGTACAACCCTCTCATTTGACTTTCAGCTCTGTACCACCACCAATTTACCCTCTGTCTTCTTAACCTGAGTGGAAGATTATAAATTGTCCAGCCATGCCCTGCCTGATGAGAGCAACATGTCTGTGAAATCTGCCTATGTGCCCATGTTCTAATTCTCCCCTTCTATACACAAGGATTGAGATAGGGCATAGCAACTGGACCTGTGCCTTCATTGGTGAATGGAACTTTACAGATGAGGAAATTCCTTCTGCCAATGCAGGTCTATATAATTTCTACAACATAAAGTCTTAGAGAGTTGTCCATAACCCTAACAGGTTAAGTAAGTGATTTGCCCAGGAAATGACTACTGGAGCTAATCGGATTTACCCATGCATATTCCCAATGCATATGATATTTAACTTGATCAAACTTGCACAAAAGAAGAGTAGCTTTGAGGAGCAGTTAGACAAGGGAAAAGGCATGGCAGCCACCCTAGAGAGGCTAGGAGCCTCTTGCCAGTCACACATATGTGTCAGAGGTGGAATTTATGTACACAAACAATAAAAATACCTTTGCTAAGCCAGAAAAATGTGGAGTACTGAGTTGATTCTAGAGCTAATGGGCTCTAGCTTCCCACTTTTTTCTCAATCTGGGTCCACTGTCATCATTAACCACACTAATTTGGGTTGGTGGCTACCAGTTTTTATATCACAACAAATTTATAAAGCAATGAAGTTATAATAATTGTGGAACAGTTCAATTGAAAAGCAACCTCAACTGGGAATGTCACTGACTGGAAACAAAATAGGCTTCTCTCCCTTTTACTCTTGCCTGAGATGGAGGAGAAACAGAAAGTAAATGCTTGTACAACTAACACAGCAACTTTCACCTGTCGGGAATAGAAAAGGGAAAGAAAGGTGTTGGGGACCTACTGTGTGTGTGGAAAGGTGTTATGACCTACTATGTATGTAACTCACCCACTTTACAAAATGTGACTTGCACTGGCATATTACCTCACATTTAGCTCTTGTCATGCCTTAGGGTCATTCATCTGTTAGTGAGGATGATGGCCACTAGCTACTTATTCAGTTCCCTGCTTAGACAATCTAGAAGGCATTTCCAGCCATAGCTGGACTTCCAACCTCTCCAGGATGGCTGCCACGCCTTCTTCCTTGTCTATCTTGCTCTACATAGCCACTCTCCTTCTGTGTAAGTTTGATCAAGTTCAATGTCATATGCATTTGGGAACCATAGATAAATATGTCTGATTAACCGCAATAGTAGATTCCTGCATTCTGAGTCTCCACGGTAAAACCACCAACATTCATCCCCAAGGCCAGAGATTTTCCAGCCCCTTGTAAAATCAGATGAGGTAAACTTGAAATCTACAAATAAGCTAGTCATAAGCATCAGAAGAAATATCAACACTTAAAATTACAAGTGTGCTTATACCAGCAATACAAGTAATCATTCTACCTTACAATTCACAGCAAATATACATCAACAATGTATGTAATAGATATAGCAGAATACACAGCATTGTTTGACAGGCTACTTCAGAAATTAAATGTCTTGACTTAGTCCATAGGCTTTCTGATAGTACATGTATATTCATAGTACAAAAACAATTATAAACAGTGAAAAAAATATAAAGTTAGCAACAGCAGTATCATTAGGCCTATTTAATAACAAACATGCAAAGACCTTAGAGTATATGTAAATAAACAACAAAACCATGCACAGATAACAAAGACTATTGTGTTACATACAATAAAATCACAAAGGCTAGCCAGGTGGTCCAGTGGAGTCAAGAAGTCTTGTCTTCCTGAGTTCAAATCCAGCTTCAGACACTTACTAGCTATATGACCTTGGGCAAGTCACTTAACCATTTGCCTTAGTTCCATCATTTGTAAAATGAGCTGGGGATGGAAAAGGCAAACTATTCCAGTATCTTTGCCAAGAAAACCCCAAATGGGGTCACAAGCAGATATGACTGAAAACGACTCAAAACAATCACTACAAAATACAATCACAGCACATAAGAAGTAAACATAACAGGAAAATAGTAAGACAGATACATAACTTAGGGCCTTCAGAAATTACTATATGCTTTATGCCAAGAATGCAGGGCTGGTTTAATAGTAAGAAAACTATCACCATAATTGATCATATCAATAACAAAACCAACAAAAATCATATGATTATAGATGCAGAAAAAGTTTTTGACAAAATGCAACATTCATTCCTAGTAAAAACACTAGAACACATAGGAATAAAT